GCCATGCTGGCTGGGGAATTCTGGGAGTTGAAGTCCACTCATCTTAAAGTGGCCAAGTTTGGACAACACTGATTTATGGTTTTCTGGTTGTAGGGGGAAATGATTGTAAAGGAAGCAAGAGCCAACCTTTCGATGTGGAATCCTTTAAAAGACCTTATAATCAAGGTCTGTATACTCAGTTCGGCTGGTTGTGGACCTTGGAGTGAGCCCTTGCTGCTTACATCCCAAGATTTAATAGGTAAGTTGCAGATGCAGGAAGCATTTCTGTTATGTCTGTGTTTGAGGAAAATGGGCTGTTGTTAATACGGTGCATCAGATGAGGAACAGTGAGAGAGCTGGTACCATTGTATCTCTCTGGCCGTGCTCTTCCCAGGATTCCCAGCTGCATATGTACAGTATTATGTTCTCACAGAAGAGAATAGATGAGAATCAAGCAGCTTCAAACAATCTAGCAGAAGCAGGGACTGGCTGGGACTATTACAAGTTTTCTGTGTAAGGGAAAGTTTGACATATGAAGGAAAAGAGCAAGACAATACAAATGGCTCCCTTGCCATGGTTTGGTGTTCCTGTATTATTAAAAATGAATGAAAGAATCTGTGAGCATGATATGGCCTAGATTAATAGAAATAATGTTTTCTGCATTTGAGATTCCCCCACCCCCACCCCAAATGGGTTATAAGGGTTTCCAGATCAAGGTAGCTGACAGTTTTTGCTGTTAGTTATAAAAGAATTACAGGAAGCTAACATTAATTACTTATCTTTTGAATGCCAACAATTATTTATAATTATTAAATCATAAATACCACACAAAAATTATAGTATGTTACATTATAATAGGCTATCTTAGATGTAATTTTACATTGTAATTTAATTATTAGAAATTATGGACACAAAAATGGAGGAGTGGGGAATGTGTTCCAAATGGAAACAGGTGATTTTTCATTTCTTCCTGAGCAGTTTCTGCAGGGTTGCAACATGCCTATGTTTTCTCAACCCAGGAGAAAGCAAGTTTTTGATAGTTACAAGCTACATTTAACATTTGAGAGGAACTGAAGAGCCACACTGGGGTGATGACACAAACAGGCTGAGATTTTTGTTTTCATTTTTGGAATGGAGCGGGGGGGGCTGTCAGATAAGAGAAATCTGAGTCCAAAGCAGAAATGTAATTTGAGAAAATGTCTCAGACCTGATCCTCCCTAGTCCTCTTTAGGGAAGAAGCACATTCAGACTTGCAAGATTGATGCTAGCCCTTTGAGGTAGTCCAGACTAGAAAATGAAAATTATGAAGACTAGTACTACTTTCATTATAGGGTTGTAGTAACAGAATCTTGCAAGTCTGAATCTGCTTCCACCATTCCTGTTTTTATCCTAAAGAGAATTAGGGAAAGTCAAGTCTGAGACGTTTTCTCAAATTACATTTCTGCCTTGGACTCAGATTTCTCTTATCAGACCGTTTTCTTGGCTGCGGCTATTCTTCCTGTTTCTCAAGGTTATTCTCACTCCCCATTACATATCCTCACAATTTGCAGAGCTAAAATTTGCAGCCAGAACTTATAAATTAAGACCTCTATGCCTCATTGTATTTGGAACATCTGAAAGTTTCTGTCTGGAGAATCATTTAAAGATGCTATATTAGCACATCTACAGCTATTTGCACAGCTCCAATGAATCCATGTGACGAGCACGAACAGAACATTGCACAGGAGAAACAAAGCTCAGATTCTTTTTTATTCCCTGTTTCCCCTACCCCTGGGTAATTTGTGCTCATCTATCTACACAAGGCTTTCTGCCAGATGGGAGTTTAAACAAAACAATTAGATTTAAACTGTGTAGAGAAGCCTTGCAAATTAAAATAATTTTGCCTTAAAATCAACTGTTTTTTTTATTGGACTTTTTCCTTAGGAGAAAAAGGGATACAAATATACGTCCTTCCATTCAGTTAGAAAATAAATGATTTAAGAGATTGTGGGTGAAAGCCACAGAAGAAAAAAACATAAAAGTAACACAGCAAAACCCAGTGATTTTAGTGGGTATAAGCATGATCAATTTTACACTGGCTTATAACTAAAATATCTAGAACACTTTCCCTCCATCTGGGCATCCTCCAGGTGTATTATCAAGGCTTCATGCCAGGTACGGTAATTAAATTCTTCCTTGCTCTGTATTCCCAAGGAGACACAAGAAGGTTTCATAAGCCGATTTATTGCAGAGCATAGCAGTATATACAAATAGCACCCCAGAATCCTGTTTTTGTGTATGCTCATCCCAGGTTTAAACCCTGGGTCTCTTCCTCCTGCCTTTTTGGGTCAACAGCCTTGTAGCTGTTCATTTCCCAGGTTTAAAGGTTTCTGCCTTTGTTTACCAAATAGCTTTCTCTGAAGCAAGGGTAAGTGGTTCCTGCCTGTCACCTTTAACCTTTACCTGTGCAGACTAGCTCCCAACATTCCCCAGACATCATGGCTATTGTTGATGGTCCTCCCCTCTTTGAAAGAAGCATGTTGCATTTGCAGGTGCATCCTATAAGCGTGAGTACATATTAGCTGTAGAAAGCTAATAGTCTCCAGGCTCTTCCTCAAACAGCTACCCAGAACATGGAGTGAAGATAAGGATACATACAATGCAGTGCTTTGAATCTGCATAACAACACCTCCAATGGGATGGCAAAGAGAACGCTAAATGTGGTCCTCATTTCCTGCCCTCAGTTACTCATGTGATACTAGGAATTACCACTTTTTCCTCTGATTTAAATTATGGGTCTGAAAGGCTGGGAGAAGCAGCACAGTGCAGGTTGTACTTATGTTTTACCCTAGGATATGTTAATGGAAAATTATTTTCTATGTTAGAGCACATGCCTATCAAGAACAAATTAAATATGTTGCATTTTGGGTATGGCCAATCTTTCAAATGCTGATTGTTCTTTTCTCACAGACTTAAATGTACACAATTTAAGATACTGTATGATGCACATGACTTAAAAAAGGGAGTGGGAAGTGCCAGGGATTAAGTGCAGGTGTTACATTAATCACCTCTAGCTTTCAAGCATAATAGCTGAGATGGATATTGGAAAAGTTTAAAGAACAGAAGATCAAATGTACAGAGAATCAATAGGAAAAATAGATTGCAACACAACATGGGATAATATATAAAGTTTGCTAAAATGTTTTATATGGAAACACAGCTGGGTACATTATTTCAAAGCATGTAATTTTTTTAAGATTTAGATGTGCATGATATGGGTTACTAGGATGAAGACTGGAGTGAAAGTACAAGAATAATTATAATATGAACTATTATGATAGCAACATGTTGTTGGATAATATTGAAATAAGCATACAAATATCTCTTATGAAAATGGTGTGCAGTTATAGGAGAATGAGGCTGAATATGGTTAGGAATAGCATTAAGCATCTGATAGCATTAGGCTATCTGAGAGGTATAGTGACACATATTATAAGGCATCAGAAAAGCTAGTTGGACAATTGCATCACAGATAATTGATTGCATATTACCAATATGGATTGATAATGAACAAGCATTACAAATCTTTCTCCACAATCCTAATTTAGGATACTTATACATTGGCCAAAAATATGTGGATTTCATTGTATGTGTTTTTCATTCTTTATTCCTGATGTTTCAAAATTTGCAATATTATAGGATTCCAAAATTTCCACAGAACAGTATGTCCTGTGTGCCACAAGTAAAACATGTTTCATTCATGCAGATGAAGCGGAAGGTAGAGAAACCCTCTAAAAATTTCCTACAGTTTTGGAATCAACAAAAATGCTGGCACAAGCACATATTAACAGACAGTTGGCAAAGACAGTTCTCTCTAACAGAGTTTATTGGAGGAAATTTGTCATGGGGATCATTAACCATCATTTCTAAAAGCTTGCGAAGTTTCTTGCTGGATTTGATTGTATGTTAAATAGTTGCTATATAAGTGCTGTTTTAATGGAAGAAGCAGCATGTCTGTGTAAATGCAGACAAATAAAACTTTACGTTAAGAGTAAAAAGGGCTGGGAGAAGTCATACACAATGGAAGTCACGTTGTGAAATATACATAGAGAGGAAATAGATACTTGCCTTGTCAAGGTGGTTGTCAGAGTCATTCATGGGCAAGAATACTTTTCATTTTGCCCAGATCAACTTCTTTTGTTTAACCACATAATTGCTGTGTCCATTTGGCTGCACACTTACATCCACATCTTATATACATAAGACAATTTTTCCAACTTATGTAGTGGGTCTGCACGAGAAGTCATACACAATGGAAGTCATGTTGTGAAATATACATAGAGAGGAAATAGATACTTGCCTTGTCAAGGTGGTTGTCAGAGTCATTCATGGGCAAGAATACTTTTCATTTTGCCCAGATCAACTTCTTTTGTTTAACCACATAATTGCTGTGTCCATTTGGCTGCACACTTACATCCACATCTTATATACATAAGACAATTTTTCCAACTTATGTAGTGGGTCTGCACAACATGCTAATTCCAGCCCAGTATTAACTGTGGATATCTCTCTTTACATATCAGTTTGCTACCAGACACCAGACAAACCACATCCAGCACCACTTTGGTGTGAATGTTCATTTTGGGGAGCATCTTGATCACCTCAGTGATTGGCTGACCAAGAGTTCCCGGGTGTTAAGGTTTATAAAAGCCCACAGTGGCCTGATTGGAACTGGAGCTTCTGTAGCCAGGATGGAGAAGGGCTGAGGACTTCCCACCAACCTTTTTATCTCTCCATTTTGCACTCTACAAGTTCAGGAAGTTCATGTTGGGTAGCAAGTATGTTGCAAGAATCCTAAGGTCGAGTTTCTATAAAGGTTCTGCAAAACTTAACGTTGGCAGTATTCCATTCCTATTTTGATGTTCTCTCTATTGTTGAATATTATGGCATATTGCTAAAATTTCTCATATGCTCCTATTCCTTTTAACATGAAGATAGAATGAGGTAGCCCCATACTATGTGTCTTGCTATCTGAACAACTTATTTTTAGGGATTATATTCCCTGATAGTCTGTCATTAGGGGACTCTTAAGTTAATATTAGCCATATCCTATGACTGGAAAGGGTTCAGTACTCTTAAGCTGTCTGATGTACAACCAGTATTTCATTATGTTATGCTAGTGCTGCTGTAACCTACGCTTGTGTTTATTTGCAATCCTAGTGAACATAACTCTAGGATAAACTCAGCATCATGTTCCTGCTGCACCTTTGAAAATGAGCCTTCTCCTAAAAACAAAATTAGCAAGATTGATCAAACCAAAGGCGTAGCATGTTCAGCCTTCTGTTCTAATGAATGGCTAGCCCAGAGGAGATGTACCACATCAAATCTTGCAGAACAGCAGCTTTGGCTCTTGCTGGTACATCATTTTAGAGTTATTTAGAACATGGCTAGTGAACCTCCTTTTAGAGCTAAAGCTCTTTCATGGGTCTATATTTTAAACATGATCTTTTGCTTTTTCACAAAGATTTTATTTTCTATACAGGGGGGCAAAGGCAGCCTCTTTATGGAACATCCTGGGTTCCTGTGGTTTTAGGAATTCTGACTGCACTGGTTACAGCAGTTGCCTTGGCCCTAATCCTTCTACGGAAAAGAAGAAAAGAAACTCGATTTGGGTACAAGTCTTCTTTTTGTTGTTTATCATCCCCATTGTAATCTCAGCATCTCTTTGTGCAGAAATCCTCAAAATGGTGCTCCCTGGATGTGTTGGAATTACCACTCCCAGAATTCTTAGCCAGCATAGCCTTTAGCCATGTAAAGCATTTCTTTTTCATTTTGTTTGCTTTGTATTCTCTTTCATTCCCCCTCTCTCTTTCTCCCTCTCTCACACACACAGAGATGTGTGTGTGGAAAATATTTAATACCTTTAAAATACCTTTGTCCTCCTGACTGAGAATTCTGGGGCTCGCAATCCCAGCATATCTGGCTTGTGGAATGGAAAGACTGATCCGGGCAAGAAGCTACACTTCAGATCACAACCTGCAGAACTGGCTTCAAGACTTCCCTAGGGCAGTAACTATATAACACCTTGCCACTGAGATGGTTGGGAGAGAGGGAGCCACAAGAGTGGCATAGCCAAGAAGAAGCAGTAGTTCAAACCCTAGAGCAATATCACTGTCCCACCCTTACTGTAGCTGCAACCTTCTTTGTTTCTGAGACCTTTTGGAAGTATGGAAGAGTTTTCCTGGGTCTTCTGATATTTTGCACTACCTCAGAAAAAAGAAATAGTTACCAAGATAAAGAGGTTCTTAGTTGTTGTCTGTATTAAGTACATAAGTCAGCTTAGGTTCTGTGGCACTCTATGCATATTTCATGAGATTTTCTTTGCTTTTTCCCCCCTTTTAGTCAAGCCTTTGGCAGTGTGGTTGGAGGCGATCCTGTAGTCCATTTCAGAGCAGTGCGATCGTTCAACCGAGAGGTCCCGCAGCTTATTGAAGTAACATGTAGGTAAAATATATATGACTCTTTCCCTCAGCAAGTGTATTTCCATTCTCTTAGCTAAAATGTTGTTCTCTACCTCCATCAATCCATCTTCTAATAGTACTGCTATGATGATGATACGTATATACCATACTCATTTCCCAAAGTGAAAGACTAAATAATACTCTGCCATATGCAAAATTGGTGCACCTATCCATGTTCCATTGACTTCTACAGGGGGGAGGTCCTACAGTGCTGGATTAGAGTGCCATCAAGGAAGTGTTTTCATTCTGCTGCTGCTTTAGCTGAATCCTGATTCAAATTATTTAGGAGTAAAATGATTTTCTTATGCACATTTATTAGGGTATAAATCCAATTGACAATAAAGGCCTTATTTTCACATAAACTTGAGCAATCTCAAACTCTGAAGTTTGAAGCAGTAAACAGTGATTCACTTTTGTACTATATATCTCAAATCAAAGTTCAAATATTATGCTACTGTTGGGGCTTGATTATATCATAAAAGCTATGGCTTGCCATCTTCAGACTGAACCATAAGTTGCTGTCTTTGGGGTTGATTCATAGATATTGCTTAAAGCAGTCTTTTCCCACTTGTACTCCTCTAGACTACAACTGCCAGAATTACCAGTTATTAAGTGGAGATGACCAGGTTGGGAATGGCTGGATTTTAAACTCTTATTTTCTTTTATTCAAGGGAAGTAGTTCAAATAAGTTGAAACTCTGAAATGTTATAGCACTGAAAAGAAGCAGTTTTATTATATATTTGTTGCTTTATACCTTTTATAAGACTAAAGAAGAGAATTATTTCCTAGGGAGTACTATTCAGTGAATTTATTTCCAAAATAAATTCTTTGTTTTGGCTTGCTCATTCTTCATACATTCTCACTCAGTCTTCCTCAACCTGCTGCCCTTCAGTGCATCTAACCATAATTCCCATATTTTCCAGTCATGGCATCAAAAGTTGTGCTGGCCGAAGGTTATGGGAATTGTAATTTAACACATCTAAGTGTACAAGGTGAGGGGAAGCTTGTTTTAAATTATTCAACATTAATTGTATCTTGGACCAAAAATATATCAATCTAGATAGCGATTAAAGCTAGATTTATTCTTGGTTAAGTTGCCCTTGTTCTTTTCTGTTTATCCAGTGGACAGTATAGGAATCAGTGATGAACTGAAGACGAAACTGAAAGATGTCCTAATCCAGGAGCAACAGTTTACTCTGGGAAGAATGCTAGGCAAAGGTGAGTAGTCAACCAAAGCCTAGAGAAAGTGCACTTACTTTGTTTAAGTGGGACATAAATACTCTGAATTCCAAGGATTCAGGCACACCAAATGGCAGAGGTCTAAACTGCAACAGTTACTACTAAATGTAGCTAGGAACTGGAGTTTTAGATTGGGAATATTGATCATTCCATCAGTGCTTTCAGAAGAGCATTGAGATTGACAGCTTGAATTATCTGGGGCTAAATATGCAGGTACACCTGTACACTGGGATTATTAGAAGCATTTCTGAGGATATGAGGAGCTCACCATGACAAAGAACATGAGAGACATTTAGGAAAAAACCAAGAAGAATAGCATAAAAGTGAAACTGGAGAATACATTTACAAAATGTGTGAAAGCTGTAGGAAATGAAGAGAAGGAAAGATGATAGGGATGTGGAAAGTACAAGGGGTATGGCAGCAGAAATATTTTGGGAGAATCAAGAGAGCTTTAGGAAGATTATTGCTGTAGCTTCTTATAAGCACCCTATCAAACCTTCGTTCTGTGTATCATCTGTTTAATATCTAGATATACAATACTGTACAGTTAAACAATTTTACGTCCTATTGATTTCAGCAGAAGTTGGCTATTTATTACCTTAAGTTTCCACCAACTCTGTATATTTTTCTGTATATTTTTGTATTTTCAGTACAAATGCGATGTTTTCTATATTCCTTCCCAGAAAATGTTCCAAACCAAATTCCCATGGAAGAATTTGGTTTTTTGACTGGAAGAAAGTCTCATTTAGTAGTTTTCATCTTCATAGCTTTTAACCTAAGCATTCTACTCTTCATAATCTTAAAACAAACTTTAGCTTCATTGTGCTTTTTCAATTACCATATTCCTTTTTTTTTTTTTTGTAATTTGTATTTTCAGTACAAATGCGATGTTTGTATTTTCAGTACAAATGCGATGACTCTTCATAATCTTAAAACAAACTTTAGCTTCATTGTGCTTTTTCAATTACCATATTCCTTTTTTTTTTTTTTGTAATTTATTAGGGGAATTTGGATCCGTCAGGGAAGGTCAGCTGAAAATGCCTGATGGCTCTCTGCAGAAAGTTGCAGTGAAAATGCTAAAAGGTGAGTAAATCTAGATTACTTGAACTGTCTCCATGTCTTTCTGTCACTTCCTGTTCCTGACTTTTTATTCTCACCAAACAATATAGTTGGCTGTGCTTTACCGCTCTTCTCATTTTCCTTTTTTGTTTTTGTTCATATTGCCTATAATTGCCACACATTCCTTGAGTGTGTATTTGTTTATTTCAATGTATATGGCCACCCTTCTCACCAAGGCAACTCTGGGCAGCAAGCACAAATAAAAACTTCAGTAGAACAATAAAAAATAGAGATATAAACATAACAAAAGTATAGCATCAAAGCCAGCAGCCTCTGTACTGACACCATCTGGATGTGTTGGATTTTAATTCCCATAAGCACCAGTAAGTATAGCGTAATGATGCCATTCCCTATGGTTTCATTTATACTCCATTTTTTTCATGACTTAAATGTTTGGCAAATGTGATCCACTATCTGCACATCAGGACTGGTAAATTAAAATATAATTAGTAACATTGTTCATATCCAATCTATTTGTTAATCTATTTTACTTACATTTATTGGCCAGTACTATGGACTAAACATACTGCACTGTGCCTGTCTTGAATTCTTATTTCTTTCATCTGTTTTACTACTATTTAAGCTCTTCCTGTAGAATCTCATCTGTTCTTTGTACCTTTACGTTCTGCACCTTTTCTTGAATGTTGCCCCCACTGAGTTTAAAAGAAATCTCAGTAATACTTCCCTTTATTTTAGCTGACATCTTCACTTCCAACGACATAGAAGAGTTCCTGAAAGAAGCTGCCTGCATGAAGGAGTTCGACCATCCACATATTACTAAATTAATAGGTGGGCATTGTCACATTCTTTATTCACTTTTGCACTAGAGGGTCCCAAAGCATATATTTCACAATTTATTTGTATAAGGAAATTTATTTATTAAATCTATTTATATGGGCGCTCATCTCACAAATGTGACCCTGGATGGCTAACAGCATGTTGAAACAATAAAAAACAATATTAGCAAAGAATAAAAAACCAACAATGGTCACCAAGGATAAAACCAAGCCAAACAATTAACAGAGACCTCTCAGTGGGCCATCTAATATAAAATTAGAGGAAGGAACAGTAGTCACTAATACATAGGAAATGTAGTCATTCTCAGTGCATCTAGATATTCTTATATTTCAAATGCTTCTTCCTGAAAGTATTCATATTTGCTCATTCTTATCTGTCCAGCATATATTGGTTCTCAAAAATGAGCATAAGAAAGTGAGGCAATATTATAAATAGGCTGCACAGTTGAAAGCAAGTATTTGTAATAGGTGAGAAATATAACCAGGCAGAAACCATCCTGTTGCTTTAGACGGAATGTTCCTGAATTCAAATAAGAAAATATTCCCCAATTTGGAGTTACCATATGGCATTTTTGAATGCTGCTTGATCCAGATAGAGTCAGGTTCCTTGAAGAGTGCCTAGTTTTTTGATACTGCTTAGAAGAGACATAACCTTGTGAAGCAAATAAGAATAGTTGACTTTAACACATGGACTGGATCAGACCAAGAGTTTAGAAATGCTGCCTTCTCAAAATGTAGCAGCGTTTTCAGTAGTTTGTGAAGAGGGAGGTATGCTATTTTTTATCATAATTTATTACAGGGATAATAGTTTTTGCTAATTGCACGTCTCTGTTCTTTCAAACCAGGTGTCAGCTTGCGTAATCGGCCTAAAGGTCGTCTTCCAATCCCAATGGTTGTACTGCCCTTCATGAAGCATGGAGACCTTCACTCTTTTCTACTGATGTCCAGGATTGGAGAAAACCCCTTTGTAAGTTTTTGTCTCTTAAGGCAACACTCAGAGATTAATTGATCTTCTATTGTATTGGCTACATCGGTATAAACTTTCATCATTTATTGATTTATTTAACTGCTTGCTTGCAATGCTGCTTACTGTATATGCTGCTCCTATTGAAAGGACTCTGAGTAGCTTACCGTCCCCTCTTCCAGTAAAAATTAAAATTAAAAACAATAAAACAAAATAGCCATTTATAATTACAGCTGAAATTACAAAAGATTTCAGCAACCAATGAACAAACATCAAAACACACCAATAAAGGGGTTTGCAACTTATATTAGTTCCATTCTCGGGGTTTTCTTAAACATCCAAGTTTTAATGGCTTTCTTGAAGCTCATGAGAGTTTAAGGGGGAAGCTAACCCAAAATATGGAGATAAGGAATGGGGGCTGCATTTAAGAAAGCCTGAACTCATGGCCCCTGAAGATGATGATCCTTGAGAGAAGAAACCTGGAGTGAACCTACTCTTAGGTCATATTATACTGGGCAGACAGAAGCCACTGGAGGAAAGTGCTATTTTAGATAACCAAGTTGTGAGCCATGTAGGGCTATAAAGATATCAACTAGCACCTTGAATTCCATCTGGAAGCAAATGGGAAATTAGTGCAGCCCTCAAAGTAAGGGTGTTACTTGGGAGGAATTCAACACTTGCATTGTTACTTGAGAGGACGTATTCTGAACTAGTTGAAGCTTCCAGGTAATCTTCAGGAGCAGCCCCTTGTAAAGCAAGTTGTAGTAATCCAAGTTTTACTTGTGCTTTTAATTATGCACAATGAAAAATGTGGACAGCCTTTGAACATATAAACCAGGTGTGGAAACTCATGGCTGCTTTAGAAGCCTTCTGCTGTCTGCCACTAAATTTCGGTTTCATCCCCAAAATGTTGCTAAATGGGCATTTCAATGGTCACAATCAATATGATTTTGTTGCCAATGGCAGTGGAAATGCCCTTTGCTAATATATGTATGTGTTTTGGGGAAAAGACATGGACGCTACAAGGCCTACACTAATGTTACAGTGCTCAATGCACAAAAGTATCGTACTCATACATTCAAATAAGATATACTTCATGTAATCAGCAGATATGAAGTCTGAACGTTCTAATCTAAAAAAAAGATAGTGTCAATAGTTCCTTCTTGATTTCCCAATGTGAAAAAATGTTACTTACTAGTATTGACCTTTGCAAAGCCTTTGCATTCAGGCTGATAATGCTGCAGTAGTATTATTTGGGTTTTTATTGAAGTTTTTTCTCAGCAGGGTTAGAACATATGCTATGCTCAGATTTGAATATTCAGGCCCTTAGAACAATTATAAGGGTAAGGTTATATTGTAAGATATTTACTGAGAGGATTTTAAAGAAAAAGCAGGAAAGGGGTTTTTTAACCAAACCACATTTATTTATATATGTACATTAACAGCCAATTGATTCTTGGAGTGGCAATTCTTTTTATGAGAAAATCATGGATATCACTTAAATGAAGAAAGTTGTTGGGCAGGTTTTCCTAAATTATACTATTTGCTCTGCCAGGAACAGAGGAATGTATGAGTATTCCCAGTAGAGAAAACATAAATCACAAAGTAAAAAGACATTCCTTCTCCCTAATGTCCTGCTTTTTATGTGCAAGGAGTTTGTTGTAACTTGGCCTATAAAATACCAATGGGGAGAGCCTCTGCTTTCCATATGCTGTTTATTTATTTATTTTTAAATACTCTTGGTGAAAGACCAAAATTGTTGTTTCCATGATGGGATTTAAGATTTTCTAAATGCCATACTGAATATGCTAATTATGTTTTATTGTTTCTGGAACTCATAATGGCTGAAAACACTGTATTTTCTCCCTAATAATCTACCTTCCACTGTACTTCTTCTTTACAGAGCTTGCCACTTCAGACTCTCTTAAAGTTTATGATTCATATTGCTAGTGGCATGGAATACCTAAGCTCCAAAAACTTTATACATAGGGATCTAGCTGCTCGGAACTGCATGTAAGTCCACCACACTCCTATAGAAGAGTTAAAGCATTTGTAAAAGATAAACAAATATAGAGGTGATGGATCGGGAAAGCCTAAATGTACCTGTTTGGGAAAGAAATGTTTGGGGCTGAGATTAAAATAAAATACTTGAAATCTTATTCTAAAATATTACCAGCTTTGATGTGCTGAGTGATAAAAACAAATTACATCATATCAATCCTTGACTTCTAGATTCTAATACTTTAAGTAAAAATATTAGAATTATTAGGCATTCAAAATCTCTTTGGTATGATAACTGATGAATTGGTACCATTGGAAGGAACTTGTATTTCCACTTTTCTCCCTTTCTACTTGTTAGAATTGAACGCAGGAATAAAATGAAAGGGAGACAATTTGGAACAAGGTCACCCATGTTCTTTAAGGCTATTCATTTTAGCCTGGTTGCTGAAAGAAGAACAAATCCAGTGACAATGCATTTCCTGGTTTACTGAGCTTAGGAACACCACCCAGCTGATATTCTGTGCCACGCTTTCAGTAGTTAAGATACCGTGATGGACTATCAGAATAACCTTGGGAGACAGGAGGAAGAATCACAGCCAGGGCAATGGTCAGACAAGAGATATTTCAGCCCACAGAAGGAATGGGAGTGAAGAAAGCATTTCTGAAAGGACCCTCCCTCGTTCTCTGAAAAGTAAGGGCAAGGGAGTGGAGAAGTGCTTTCAGATGTGCAAGATTCTGTTACCGTAACTTTACAATAATGGTACTGTTAGTACTTACACTTCCTGTCTGGACTACCTTGAAGGGCTAACAGATACTTGCTTCCTCCCAGCTTTGTTCTGTTCTTCATTTAACCCATGGGTGACCAGCAGGAATGTTTTGATCTAGTATTTCCTTCAAGTTGAGCCAGTCATTGGGTAAAGGAGGGATTAAAAAATAAGACAGTTACTTTCATTTCTACAGCTTAGTTACATATACATATGTGGAAAGGAAAATCTCACAAATATACCACGACCTTATGGCCACTCCAACTAGATAAATGAGAAGTATGTACTGTATATATATTCTTACTGCATTTGTAAATTGATATTCTTCTAATAAAGTCAATTTGCAATTCAAAATGCTTGACATAATATATTAAAGGCATATTGAATAACAGAATTCTTTGAGGCTGTATAGGAGGAATATACAATGTAGCCCCCTGAAGGCAGGGATCCAGCCCCAGAGCCCCTCTAGAAAATGCCACAGCTTTTGTGATAGAAAAAAGTATTCAATACATGAGGAGTAATTATATTAAATGTATAAAATAAATTCTTGAGGAGAGCAACATGAAGTGAATTACCCATTCATTCTGAGGTCACTGTTTTTCCCCTCTTCAGAGCATAGTCAGCCTTAATTGAGGGTAAGAGTTGTGAACTTCAGCTCATGAGCATGATTAGTAAGCAGCCATCAAATACTCAAAACATTGGCTCACCAGCAGTCTGAGCATATTTCATCTCTTTAATTGCTCCTGAGAGGTTAGCTGCATTGGCACAAGGAAAGAGGTCCAATGTGAAGGAGAGAATCTAAACCTCCTATTCCTGTATTCCTCAGATTGTCTTGCATTCTTCTACATCTGTTTTTCCCCTCTTTTTTGGTCTCTGTTAGGTTGGATGAAAACATGAATGTCTGTGTTGCTGACTTTGGGCTTTCAAAGAAAATCTATAGTGGAGATTATTACCGTCAGGGCTGTGCCTCAAAGCTGCCAGTGAAGTGGCTTGCATTGGAAAGCCTGGCAGACAATCTCTACACAACTCACAGTGATGTGGTAAGTCGGGTTTTTTTTTTTTTTTGGTCTCTTTCCACTGTTTGCATATTTATCTGTGAGGTGAGGCAATATATTATTCTGTTCTGCTGACTAGAGATTCTGTGATTGCAGTCATGTTTATTTTTAGATGATCTTCTCACCCTAAACCAATATTGTAAGTGTTGATGCAGGTCAGAGTACAAATAAATCAGACCACAGCCCAGATTTATTCTGCATTGTCGTCATGAAAAAGTTCATGAAAAGTGAATGTGCTAACTTTTGACCATGCATCTGCAGCTGCAACAATTTGTCTGCAAAACAATCAATCACAGGGATAATTCCTAAAGATAATGGCAACTTGATTTGCAACTTCCTCAAAGGAAGCAGGCAGTAGGCAGAAATGAGACCTAGATCTTCTCCAGTCAACACAAAGATTTTATCGGTAGAATAGATTTTAGATCTTTAACATGGCATTTGTGATTGTGATTGAACTTTTAATTAAAATACATTGGGGAGCAAGAGGCTCAAGAATAATATGTATTTCTTTATATTTTTGACCCCCATTGGCATATTTAGAAAATAAAATGGTAGATAAATCTATGCCCAATAGACAGCATTTTATGGAAGTGCTTGTATACATGCTCTAAAATTCCCAATGTGCCGCTTGGCTCCAGTAACTTAGAAACCTATGGAGGAGACAGACCAAACCTTCAGGTTTTTGACCATGGAATGTTTTTGAAGCTTGAGGTTTTAATCTAACAGGAACATTTTGCATAGGATTTTTCTTGTTTACGTTTTATCACTTCTGATTTTCTACCCCCTCTTCTCTTTACGTAAGCTTGTTCTTCTACTTTATTACATAATAATGTCCTATTACACCATTCCAAGTTTGTATTTACAGATTGTTTAAATATTGTGCTATATATAAAATGAGAACCAGTTTGGTGTAGTGGTTAAGGCATCTGGCTAGAAACCGGGAGACTGGGAGTTCTAGTCCCCCTTGGGCATGAAGCCGGCTGGGTGACCTTGGGCCAGTCACTCTCCTTCAACCCTAGGAAGGAGGCAATGGCAAACCATTTCTGAAAATCCTTGCCAAGAAAACTGCAGGGACTTGTCCAGGCAGTCTCCGAGAATCGGACACAATTGAATGGATAAAAAATAAAAAATCAATAAAATACAATGATGTATTATACTATATAGGTCATGTAAAAACTGTAAAAAGAGAACATGACATACAGGTAGTCCTTGCTTAAAGTCCCTAATTGGGACCGGAATTTCCATTGCCAAGTGAAGCAGTCGTTAGGCAAAACATCACGTGACCGCACTGCTTAGCGACGGCAGTTCCAGTAGTCCTGGTTGTGATCATTAGGCAAGGAACTCATGCTTCCCCTGCCCTGCCGTGTTCGCCTCCACTTCAACTCCCCTCACTTGCCTATCACCCTCCCATCTCTGCCCTTTTGGCCATTCTTCACTCTGCTGCTGCCTCCCCCAGCTGACCATTGCCATCTTCTTCCTCCCACTGACATGCACCTGGCCATGTTTTGAGCAAGTGACCGTGGGGGTGCTGCAACGGCCATAACTTTGAGGACCAGTCATAACTATCATTCATTCAGTGCCATTGTAACTTCAAGCAGTCACTGAACAAATGGTCGTTAAGCGAGGACCACCTGTAATGTAACATCTATACCTCTCTGTCTGAGAGTTATGAAAAGGAAGGTGGACTGTATGCGCCAATTTGAAGACTCTGTATGTCCTTTCCTGCAACAGTGATGAGTATCAAGACTTGGATGTTTCTCAGAACTAATGGATTGTACATGGTCACCTAAAGTACAAGAGTCCATGAATTCAATTCCTGGTTGAGTTGTGTGAATCCCATAGTAAGATCTGTTTCAAATAGAATGAAACTGCCATGTACTGCCTCCTGGTGGTCAATATTAGTAAAACCGCCACGCAGGATATACATTTTTGTACTGGAGAGAAAAGCCCCCTCTTTGGTTGTTCCATATATATAAGCTAAAGAGTTCTGAAAAATAACTCATTCACACAAATCACTGCTCATTGCCAGACATCCTCCGGAGCCAAACACTGTTGAAAATGCTTGTTTCTTCTGTTGAAAATATATTTAACTCTTTTTCTTCCTGTTTCTCTCTCTTCCTCACCTCTCTCAATTATATTTCAGTGGGCGTTTGGTGTGACTATGTGGGAAATTGTGACCCGAGGGCAAACTCCTTATGCAGGCATTGAAAATGCAGAAATTTACAACTACCTCATCAGTGGAAACAGATTAAAGCAGCCCCCAGAGTGCCTAGAAGATATGTGAGTGGCTTATTAGCCCATTTTCTTACCCAAGCCTTGGCAAAAATTATGCAAAAGAACAGTCATGTTTTGGACAAATGCTCAAGTACATTTCAATATTGTTTGAACAGGAAAACCTCCCAATGTACTATGCCTGTAGGAGAGAAGTGATTATTGCATCCACATACTTTTAATTTGTAAACAAAATTCTGTTCAGCATGCTTCAAGGAAATGTTTCTAAAATACTTTAGACAAGTATTTTATAACCTAGAAAGACATGGAAGTGTCCCACTGTGCAAATGCTCTGTGGGGTTTACAGCATATCTAATCCATGTTTATCGGGAATGAATTCCAGTATGTCAAAGACATTCAGTGTTTAATGTCAAGAAGTCTTACCTCCTCATACAGTATGTGCATAGGGCCATAATTTTCCTTTCTTCCCAGGTTTGGAAGGGGAAATTTTGGAAGTTCCCAGTTTTGGAAGTTTTAAATCAGGTTAAGTCTATTCTAAGACTTAATACAACATTGCAATGAATTTCCCAAATGACCAATATTCCCAAATTTACAATGAAATTCACCATCTTGGTTCAAGGGGATTCCAGGAATCAAAAATAAGGATTTGAAAACTACAACATGGCTGCAGGTTATCTACCTTGCATTATTTTAATAATTATTTATTAATAGCCATCACTATAAATAATTCCAGCCATAATTTAGTAAAGTACATGTGATTTTGTTTCACAGTCACATTTAATTTATTTGTATACAGCATTTCCAACACATAGATTTGTGCTTAATAAGTGCACAGACAGACCATTTAAATACAGCAACAATTCAACAATGATGTGATGTAAGTGAAGATGCGTATATAAATTCAGTTTAAGTATCATGAGAAATCATTCAGTGGACAGAATATATATTTCTATTATTAAAAAGTATAATTATACCAAAGTAGTGTTCTTAACCACTTCAGGGAATGGTAGCACTGAGAAAGTGTGTGGAAGTGTGTGTGTGTGTCCATGAGTGCACGTGTGCACATGCATGTGCAGCACACATACACATGTATTATTCTGTAGTGTAAAGACTCCCCTGAATTAAGACTGACTCCTGGTGACCTCAAGGATATATCTATATAGCTTTCTTCCCAGGGTTGTTTGGAGTAAAAATAACAGTCTAAAGATAATTTAAAAGTATAGTATGATGATTATTATAATAATACAAAATCTATAAAATATAATAATACAAATTCTATAGAATATCTCTGGAGAGGGGGAGGGAACAACACCCATGCATTTAGAAATAAAGTCCTTTCCAAATTGAATTGAGATTATCCATCAACAAATAATGCCATTTAAGAACTTCTTATAAGATTGAGAATTCTTAAATTGACACAGTGGAAAAGAACATGTCAAAATCTTGATAAGAAAAAATGTTTTGTTAGAAAAATCTTATGTCTTCTGCAGCATGGGAATTCTTGACATTTTCCATGTATGGGAAAGGGTGAAATACTGAAACAGGATAAATAGCACAAAAAGCAGAATAATTCTGCTTGCCATCTCACGGTGTGGGATTATGATTTGTGCTTCTAAGGCTGGTTCAACGCGAGTCAGAAAGGTGTATCCTTCTCTGCTAGGGTTCAAATAACATAGTCCACAGCTACTACTCCAGGTTAGATCAGCACCATTTGCAGTCCACTTAGCCAACTGCTCTTGCAAGGGGAGTTTCAGAATAACTGTGACAATTGACATGAAGTTCAGCTGTTCAGCAAAAAAAGTTAGAAAACCAGGGACTTTTCCTGGTAAGAACCCATTTGATGCTTTCAATCAGGGCCTATTTCTTTCATTACACAGAGCAAAGCAGCCTCCCTCAGTTGGTGGCTTCGCAATGCAACTAAAAGATTATGTAGTCAGTGATTTAGCTTAAGTGGAAATGCCACGTTCATTTTCTTGCTCTAACATCACCATAACTTGGTCCTTCTCTGGTCAGCTGAGCGCTTCCATATCATTCCTACAGCCTTTAATGATGGAGCTCGTTATCAGCAGCCATTTTTAAAGGGGAGGGGGATGCAGATGGCTCTTCTCATTTTGTCTCAGTGCTCTGTTCTCTGACTTGCCTTGCAGCTATGATCTCATGTGCAGATGCTGGCATTCGGAACCCAAGCTACGCCCGAGCTTCGGAGCTCTGAAACTGCAGCTTGAAATGCTTTTGGCGAGACTGTCGTTGCTCTCAAACAGTCAGGACCCTCTTTATGTCAATGTTGGGAGATTCCAGGAAGGTTACAGGAACGAAGCCACCATGAATTGTCCTTTTGGAACCTTGAATGGGGAAACAAGCATTGCAGGAGCCACTGCTGCTGTGACTAGTGACTACCGTTATATCATGAGCCCGTTGTGCCTTGGGAATGATGCAGAAAGTGAAAGACACCAGGATGCATCTGATGGAGAGGCTCAGAGCCTCCTTTACGATTTGGAGATGGGAGCAAAACTATGTTAGCCCAAACAAAAAGGAGTGAGACTTTACTTTCCCTCTGATAAGATGTGTGTATCTTTATCATCATATGGTACCACTGAACAGAGACAGTTGGAAGCTGCTTTTAACCAACAGAAGTTGGTGTAATGTCAGCTGTGTCTGTAGCTTCTGACAGCTGTTTCGGGGCTAACATCTCAATTTGGTAGAATCACCTCCTGGCCTTCTGAGAGAAACCCTGCAACCCGTCCATGAAATGCAATGGGAGTGGCCCTAGTTTTGGACAGCCCACTGGGTCACAGTATTCTCTCTGAGAATTGGGGTCATGTAGAGTGGTACTCTGCATATTTTGGGGAGAGGTTTCCCCCCCAATAGGTATGGGAGAAGAGGCACGTGCCACATATTCTGAACAACTGATACTGTCTTTCAGAGCATGAGAAAACAAAGAGCCTAATTTAGCAGTAGCTACCTCAGTGGTTCTCAAACTGGGTTCTGTACAGCTGCTTCTCTATCATGAAGAAACATTGGGCCTTTTCTCAGAGTGGCGTTTAGTTGGCAGATGAAAGCATTCCTGGAAAGATAAGGAGATTTAGCAAGAGCATTTTGATTCCCGCCCCTCCCCACAGGTTTGCACATACTTGCCCTTTTTCTTCTTTCTGCTTTAGATTTGAAATCATACAGATTTTTTTTTCTTTTACAGCAAAACTGACCAATTTGTGTGAGGAGTGTCAGAATTTATAGGAATAATGCAAAACCAATAAATATACCTGTATATGCAATAATTTGGCATTAAGGCCACAATCTTGGACCCACAGAGAGTAATCTCACAAATTCAATGGGATTTACTGATGAATAGGCATGTATAAACTGTGCAAAATTCTATGTCTGTGGGCATACTTTTTTGGCATACAGCTTCATTTCTGTTTCCTGTTTAGCTACTACAATGATGTGGCTGAAATTTTAGCCTTACTTTCCATATGTATTCCTTGGGAATTTGGGGAAGCTAAACTTCCCCCAAACTAAAAAAAAAAATGACCCAATTTTCTGATATGTTTCAGGTTTAGCCACCCATTATGCTCATTAACCCCTAATCCCATGGTTTTCCCAAATGGATCCAAATATTTGGCCCTATCTGCTACTCAGAGAGGGAACAATAGAGACCAAAATGAGGTGCTTAGGGGGTACGTATGGATTATAGGCTGACCAACTCTACCCTATATAAAAATTTCTATGAATTTTTTCATAGAATTCTATGAATGTGTGAACACACACAGAGACACACACACTCTATAACAATAAAAGGAGGCAGTTCTTTAAAAAGACAGATTCATTTTATGTATCTATTCTGCCACCTTTTCTTTTTTTAATAAATATTAGCCACAGCTAAATAAATGATCAACTGACATCAGTAGAATACTTGGGGGATTTTTTTTTTTAATACAAAGAAAAAGCTGTTTTCAGTTGGAAAGCTTGAGAATCACTGGCTTGTCAAATTAAAGGTCTTCTTAAAGCCTCTTCTCTATTCTGTAAAAATTAAGTTCCATTGGATTTTTTTTTTTTTTTTTGGTGCCTTCGAGTCAGTCTTTGACTCCTGATACAACTGCCA